CACCTGCCGGAGTAAAAACTCTGCGCATCGGTGTCTCGCCAGTGGCTAACTGTCGAGACTCCTGGGAAGCCTAACTAAATGACTCTCTTCCCATGTGCTATGACCTATGCGAGCACTCGTAGATATCAGGTGTTCTCCGGTTAAGTTCTATCTTTCTTGATTGCGAACTTACAGGGTCTACGATGCTCCCACGTAGAGCTGTGTCGGTGGCGGGACCCGTGGGCGCTATCCATGGTCCCTTACCTCCGGCACACCACTCAGCATGATAAGTATCATACTATTACAGTCTTCCAACAACCCATAAACAGCCTACGGCAAAGGGGCACGTGTAGGCATGATTGGCGTAAAACCTTCCTCGATGTCTTCGGCACTACCCAGGACTGCTCGAGGGACCCTTCCGGATAGCTCATGCTAACTCCGTCAGCTTTGGTCCGTTTTGCTCTGTTCTTTTTGGAGAAGGTACTTGACCTTCTCACCTTGCCCCCTTATATATCCTGCGAACAGCTTCCGGTCAGACGGACGGCAGCGACGTATACAGTGTTATGGACATGTCTTCAATGATTCCATTTAACTAGTAAGACGGCAACTTCACCTATTTAGGCCCATGACGCCCGGGGCGAACCCTGGGGCCGCAGGTACCTGTTAGGAATAATCCTGCCAAGTTACAGCATGTTGGGAGCACTCTAGCTCCTCCCGTAGTCTTCTGATCAATGAGCAATCAAGTGCCCGTCGATCGTCATTGCGTAACAAACAATCCTAACATTACACTGAATCTTTCTGAGAACGTTTCCGACGGAAGGTAGGGTAATAGTGTCCCAAAGGTAGGGTAAGTGTGTCCATGGTGACACGAAACTGGTCTCCATGGTAGGGTAACGTGACTTACCTAGATAGGGTAAACTCACCCGGCCTTCCGACCTCTCCTTAAGACGAAGCCGATGTGGTCACGTTACTTCCACTACTTAGGTACACCTATTTCTAAAGTACCTTCTGTTCTTTGGGATACCCGGACCATCGAGTATCTCCCGGGCATGCTCAGACATGCCCCCCTAGTCTACCATATAACCTCTAGGTCTTATGTATGGGCGTAGACTTAGGTTGCCATAGCTCTATAACGTAGGGTCGTTACACCGCCACAACCCCCGCACGTTCACAAGCTCACAACCGGGGGCACTCTAAAGAGTGCCTGACAGCTCAATGGTACTTTATGGCTCAACGGCACTTTGTGGCTCACCACAGTAACTTTGTGGCTCAACAGCAGTTTGTGGCTCAACAGTACTTTGTAGCTCTGCACAAATATGTATATTAAGGTAATCCTCTTTAATATACCAATACAACCATCCAGTCTAAAACAGCTTCACATACAAGTCTATTATGATAACACTAGTTTCAGATTATAACCTTTGAAGTTTAAATAATACAATATTTGGTTTCACATCAATTTCTGCAACCTCACTTGTTGCTTAATCTGCATAAGGTTCAACTTGTTGGCTTGGTAGAATAAAGGCTAGAGCTGGTGGTATGATTTTTTATTTCAAGGATGAATTTTTGGTTAAGTGGAAGTATTTGAATTATTTACAAATTGTTTATATACTGCAAACCAATCTTAATTTACAAAGTTGTACAGAGCTACAAAGTACTGTTGAGCCACAAAGTGCTGTTGAGCCACAAAGAGACTGTGGTGAGCCACAAAGTACTGTTGAGCCATAAAGTACCGTGCAAATTGCCTAAAGGTGGACCCTCCGGTGAAACAGGAATTCCATGGCAACCGATCAGAGTTGAGCCCGGAATTGCCAAGACAAACTGAGCAGGGTGAAATGATATAACAGAAGTGAGGTGCAATAAGCAGTAATTGATAGAATTAGATTAATGTATTTAAGCAGAAAGGTTTTCTAACTACCCCCTTGAGCTAAAGATAAATGATGATGACTTTTATATACAACATTAGTAAATGGTTGTGTTCCATACTGTAATCCAGTAGAGTAGGCATCAAGTATACGAGTACTCTTCCACCAGTATTTTAGAAGCAAAAGTGAAGGAATATCCTGCAAAGTCTTTGGAACTGTCTTGACCAATGAAGGCTAATTATACTGACAATTCTTTCTGGTGAACCACTTTGCCCTTCCCCATCTATACTCAATCCAATTCAGCTCACAATGGAATTTGGGAAAAAACATGCAAAGATGACCTCTCTTCTCAATCTCCTCCTGAAGGCGTGACTTTTGTGCAAAGAAGTCAGGCTGGACTGAAAGTAACCGCCTAGCACAGCAAGAATCACCTTCATGACTCTTATCTTTCTTATTCTTCCTGCTCTTACAGTCATGCCTTAATCCATTCTCTGGCCAGAGACCACATTCTTGCAAGACCCTCTTGCATCCTTTTGGCATTCCTCTCCACTTTGAGGGAATAGAGATATCATCCAATTCAAAGCTCATTTTCTGAACATTTAAAGTAACACCATCTGGTTTATAAAACCAACCATCACGAAGATGAAGTTGCTTTCCACCAGGATCTATATTCATGTGTGATACACGAAGTGCATCAGGTGCATCTGCTATATGAGAGGTTGCGTTGTCAAAAAGGAATAGTGCTTGTGCATTTGGAAAAGCAGCTTCAAAGATGGGAATTGCGATATTAAGGACATGGTCTATTAGGTTGTCCCCTTTCCACCAAGATCCATTACCCACTTTGATATACTCAGTTGCTTGTCGAGGATTGATTTGAAGTCCCGGAATAGGCTCAATGTCACAAGATTGCAGGATAGTCGGTAAGTGAATTGAGGATGGTATCTCAAGTCGATTCCCTGGAAGGATAAAGTCCGATACCATAAGTCCTTGCCCTTGTGACTTCTTGTAAATAAGATACTTATCCTTATGAATCCAGCGATGGTGTACACCATCATTTGAATGAAATGTACACATACCATGTGCACAAGGAATCAGCAATCGCTCCCCAGTTGGTAAAGAAGTTTGATCCAAGATACCTAAAGGCAGCCATTTTGGCATTCGCGCTTCCAGCTCTTTCCATCTAGGAAGAAAGTAATGCTCTCGATAGAAGACAACATCAGGCTTCTCATGGCCATCAATATACACTCCCTTCCTAACTTTTTTCCATTCAAAGCCCAGCTTTTTCAACCATCGAATGGCTGTGGATGCGGTAATACTCATTTTACCCTTTGTATGCTTTTCAACCAGGGCCTGAAAAATACAGGATACACGAATCTCAGCATCTGACTTGCTAGTCCGTGTAGTCCAGTGATCAGTTACTGACTTTGTAAGCCCATGTCCGGAAATATCTATTATGATATTAATCCCTAATTAGTTGTAAAATCATGATAGATCCAAAGATTTATCACTGGATTACTTACTTTCGCCAGCATCTTCTAAGTACTCACGTACTGCAATCAATGTCTCTTTATCATTTAGCATGCTTTGTGATTTAGCATGCTTGCCTCGCTGACTAGACATAATTGTTTTGGTTTTGATCCAACTATTTTCCCAGCGAATTATGTGTCTTGCTGTATGCTTACTCCGTCCCCAACCTGTGGCAGTATTTTGGGCGGCTGTTTTCCGTGGCATCTCAGGTTGCTTCAACTACCAGTTCATGAACTGGAATACTTGGAAGTAGCGGTCAAGATCGTGCATATTACCAGAGGCTCACTTTTTCCAATAAATTACTCGACAAATATCTAAAACACCTATATTTCATGACTGATATTAGTAATATTCTCAAAGCAGGTATCAATAATTATCATTAAGAGCATACCTTTTTGAAGGACTGTTGTCCTCATCTCTTTGGTAACCATTAGTCACTTTTCCTCTACTAGTCTATCAACATCCTCCCAACAGTCAACTGTGTTCTCCTATCTCTACTCTACTTGCAGTCTCAGTCTCTCTTGCTCCTCAGGCTTACAACTTCTCCGCCATAAAGTAGTCCATGAGAGCCCCTCATTTCCACTTGAGCAACTGCTACTAGTCCTCAAGGAATGTGGTGTATGAGAATTGGAGGAAGAATTGGCTGCCGTAGGTCGTTCTGGCTTGTGGTCTCCATAGATGGTAATATTAGGTTGTCTGCTCTCATCGAAATCGTTTGTGTTATGAATTGCGGATTGTGGTGAATCAAAGGGCTTTTTGGGACATCCACCTTGAGATCCATTTTGACACTGAAGCTTTCGTTTGTTTTTCAGAGGAGGCATATTGACAGTAATATGATATTGAACTTGAATTGGCTGTATTGTAGACCTTCTGGTATACTGTACTCATAATAGGATTATTATTGATTATTCATACATCTTAGTCATTGATACTCTTAAGTATTTTTCAGTCTGCCACTATGTACATTCTATCACATGTTTCACTCTCACCAAAATTTTCACTTTTAAAAATTGAACTACTTTTTCATACAAGACTTAATTTAAATAAAAAAACCTAATAATTCTTCTCCTTCTGAATCCCCTCCTTTCCTAGGTTGTTTTTTGGAAAAATTCCTTGTTTTGGTCGACAAGTTCAAGATTGCGTTTGCCTATTTTGAGGGTCCGCTTTTACTCGCTTTGCACTATACCGTTGAGCTGTTAGGCACTCTTTAGAGTGCCCCCGGTTGTGAGCTTGCGAACGTGCGGGGGTTGTGGCGGCCAGCCATAACCTTGGCACGAGTATTCAACTTGTCCAAGCTTTGGACCTTGTGGTGAGGTGTTGCCATGGCAACTATCTCAGTAACAGTTGTGAAGTGATGGCACACGCATCCAAACTCGCGGCACCTGTAGTTGGTACTATGAGGGGAGAAATTTAGATAGCTGAATTTGTTATTGCTTTACTGTTTTTTGAGCTGTATAACTTGTCATATGGAATTAGCTTAGATGTTGCCGTGAGGTAGGCGAAAGGGGGGAAGAAGATTGTGATGGGGGACTGTGTCGCACAGTCCAAGTTACCCGGCTGGACATGATGGAAGGAATAAGGAGATGTTTGCTTGTTTACTACGACACAGGGAGACGAACTAGTGATTTTTTTTCCGCAGGACTTTTCTTTTCTTTTCTTTTCATTGGGTTTCATTCTGAAGGGATTATTGGGAGATTGGATTGTTTCTTTCAGCTAAATTGAGATAAGCTTCGCTGATTTTAGTTTCTTTCTGCAAACAATTTTAAACTGATGTTGTTACACATTTTGCAAGGGAAACGGGCTAAATCACCCAAATTTTTGCTTAGTCACTTTTGGTTGGAAGACTGGCTACAGACACCTATGAGGTAGAGATTAAGAGGCGTTCTATCGCGGGACGTGCGGCGAGGGGTATTTGCCCTCACACCCTCCGCCACGCGCAGGAGTGGTGGCTTTGCTTCCTTTATAGCGATTAAATTTGGACATCCGGTATCCGGTGCTCGGTTTGGGTTGCTCTTCCGATTTACCGGTATACTGTTGGACATATGACACCGTGACCGCACTAACGAGGTGTGTGGAGTGTCTCAGGTGAGGATGGATTCCTCTTTTACCTTGTTTAACCTCTTGCCCAGTTTTTTTTGTTACCGCCGGATGGTCCTTCACGACCAGTCCATTTGGTTCTTTAAGTTCTACTGGTCCCCGGAGAAGTCAGCTGTCGGAGGCGATATACATATCCGCCGGCCTGCACCGACGCCAGAGCCCACCAACGCCCTACAAGTGCCCGACCCACGGCGACCCTATTCTCACCTAGAGCACTACTGGAAATCGCGAGATGCTGCTTGGCACGTTCTCGCAATGTCTGTGTTTGCATGTTTCTGGGAGCGCGCGCTTTGGTTTCGGGCGCACCCCAGCCTTAAGCGCAGTTTGGCATTTCGGGAATGCACTTCGGCCGCGGGAATGCGCGGAGGTCTAATAGTAGGGCATCTGCCAGGAGGAAGGCGGGAAGGCAGTAAGGAAGGCCGGAAAGCCAATTTCCAGAAGCTCTGGATGCTAGGAGTTTGTCTTTCCTTTGTTAGCTTTTGTATGCCGATGAGTGGGAGACGTGCCTGGAAGGTTAGGACATCGTTGTTTTGTGGTTGATATATACGCCTGTCTTCACCGTTAGTTAGTTGAGTGTGAGAAAGAGGGAGTAGACGAAGTGAAGAGTTTTTCCCCGCTCGCGAGACATGCAATCATTTGTGAGAACTTGGCGTTTCGTTTCATGGTTTCGCAGTTGAGCCGTAGGCGGCTTCGCGGTTCGTTTGCTCGTTTGTTCGTTTCGCTGGCGCTGTAGGACCGCCCATCGACAGGTCAGAAGCATCGCACAGCAGAATAAACCACAGAGCACGTGCAAAGCATCAAGGGATATTCAGCCAATCTCGGATTACCCGGCTGAGAATATCAGAGCCAACAAATCGGGGTGTTCTCTTTGCAAATGCTTGTACAGTACTTGCCAGGGATAATGTTTTCGCACCGTTAATTTAGGTTAACCCGCAAAATAATCCCTGTCTCGTACGAAAACTTCTCCCCTGGCACTTGTGCATTGCCAATGGCGGGACGGTAGAGCGCTAAAAGGCATGAAGAAGTTTCTAGGTTCGTAGTATAATACCGTACTTGCACATTACTAAATTTGCTATTAACTTAGTTGAGAGTGAGACATAAGTTGCTTGCCACTCAACTGAAACATTGGGGCAAGAATACCCCATCCAAATTCGCTGGCATTGAAACAGGATACCATACCGGTAGAGCCACTATGATATTAGTTAAGGAGCTTTTAGCTTGACAAGTTGAAAATTTTGTCAGCCTCGGAACCCCTATCGGGTGCACGATACCAGAAATGTAGCGGGGTATTGGTCAAGTACCGTATTGTATGGAGCAGAGTGATGTGCCTGCAGCATATTCCTGGGGGCTTGCCCGGGCTTGGTGTGAGTATCTTGACTGCAAGTGCAGGGCTGACCACTTCACTGGTAGATACAGTACTGGTACAAGTGCTCGAGTACCATATGGATTGCGGAGAAATGCGGGGGCTGGTTCGAGTGAAGTTATTGGTTGAAATATGGTACAAGCCCCAGGGATAATGTTTTCCCACGGTTAATTTAAGTTAACCCGCAAAATAATCCCTGTCTTGTACGAAAACAGCTCCCCTGGCACTTGTACGATCTTGGCGACAAAAGAAACGGACC